TTACAGAAATTTGGTGTTCCTTTGAAAGGCTTAAGTACATGGTGAAACAGGAATTACAAGCCAATAATAAATAAACAATAAATATTACAGTTGGAACCTCATTGTATTTAGAACTTGGTTATAAATACAACCTTCTTATGCTTATTAAAATACTGCAATACAAAAAACAAGTAAAGAAAAAAACTTTTCAAAACAGGAAGTAATTTAGGGATAGCTAATATCAATCCTTCAAAAACAATCCAAACTAGATATTAGGGATGGCATTTGCATAATCTCTACGTAAATAGCACAAGCAAGAATTAACACATAGCAATATATATAACTATTCAATCACAGTTGAGTTTCATTTATCCTATTTTTATCTGATAACATTCTACTACGCTGTGTGCCTGTGCTACTATGTAGGAATGATGCAAATGCCATCTCTACTATCTTATCTCTACCCAGCTCATAATTGCAAAAGCATCCATGAGAGTAATTATACTATAATTTTTTATAATGTATGCTTATCTTTACTAATATTTGCAGATTATTAGTAAACATTACAAGGCTTTCATACATAAAATATCAGGTTTTTAAATTAAGTATTAAGATTTGTTTAATTAAAGATCTGCTTGTGAATTTTTTCTTTCACAATACTGACTATCCAACATGCAAAGTAATTTTGATTTTATGATTAAAAATACTTTTCTTTATCTAAAAATTGTCCAGTTTAATTTGCATAATATCTATATCCTTCTAGGTAATCATCAAACGTTTTTTTGAATAAAACTTTATATTTAATCTGTTATTTTATCAATGCTAGCTCTATATGGTGTTGGTCAATTTGACCAACCTCGTAACCACAAAAAAATCAAGTTAAATTAAATTACCATTTTTGTTGTTTTAGAATAACTCCAAACTGTAACAGAAAACCACAAGTATTTATTCTACATAGCTTAAATCTCGTAACAGTATACATCTATATTAACCTTTGATCCGTGTCTGACAAAAAATACCCCAACACATGGTGCATGAGCAGCTCACAATACCGCATCGAATACCATAATACACAAGCTGCTGAAGTGTATACCCCATGAAGATTTTTATTACTTTCCTTTCATTATCTTACCTAATAAGGTTTTTTTTTTTTTTGCATTTTAGTTACTTTTATAATAATAAATAGTGAAAACAAATGAAAAATAAAAAAAACATCATAATTAAATACCGAACATTTTTATTTTCAGTAAAGCTTTATATTTTATCTGTTATTTTCTTTACTATAACATTATACTTGATTCTCCAGGTTGTAGGTAAGTGTTGAAGTGTTTTACACTCACGCACCATTTTCATTTTCGATACCTCACTACTATAAAGGCTTGGTTTGGTCTGAAGTTTCATTGGTGGTAGTGTCCAGGGTAACTGATGAGGAGTGGAATTCTCCGAAACTATTCTGGCTCACAGACACACCCCCAATGAAAGAATAGACCATTCCAAGCTTTTACTTGTTGTTAAACAAATGTTTAAACAACTCTATTTGAAAATAAAGGTTGCAAATGCAAAATAAAATGTATAGTATTGTTAGTACTTATGGTCAGAGTTTACACTTCTCACCTTTCACACATATTTTTTTGCTAGTAGATGGCTTAGAAACTAAAGAAACAACGGACAACAAAATTCCAAAGTAAATCTCCTGAGAGTTTCTTCTGATCTTTTTACACCTATTTCCTATGTTTATTCTACTGCTAGCAGCTGAAGTAGAAACCTACCAAATATAGAGCAATGAATCAATGTTCCTGTTTAGGTGATACCGTACTTTGACTCTGTCAATATCAAATAAGCTTTTGCAGCACAATTCCCAGAACTTCCCCGTTTTGAAAGCACAGTGAGGTAGAATTTATCAACTTGTTTACAGTATAGTGGTTACAACGAGAATTGTCTAAAGTATTATAAAATGCTTATGCTATGGCTCTGTACAAAGTCTGGGCCGATCCAATAAACTTATTAGGTATTTGAATGCTGGTCGATAAGTGGACGAGTTTATTCAAATCCTGGCTCTGAAAACACAGTGGGATACGATTTCTCAACTTGTTTACACAGTACAGTAGTTGCAACAAGAATTGTCTAAAGTACTACATAAAAGTGAGAGAAAATATTTATGTTATGGCCCTGTACAAAGTTGTATCCGATCCAATAAACTTGGGTGGTCGGGATTTAGTGGTAATATAGGCATGAAAGTGCTCATGAACATCCTGTTTCCTATTTTACCATGCTTACACAGTAACCAATAAATTATGAGTTTCCACTATTTTGTAAGTTACAGTGAGGTTTGGGTTACCATACATCACATATTATTATTATTTGAAAATAAATATTTAAATTTCAGTTATTTTTTTTAAAACGTAGAACAGTAAATGAAAAATATTCGGAAAACAATGATCTCCACTACTTACAATGTTTTGAAGTTCTCTTTTGCACTCGTGAGTCGTACTTGCTAACTCTCGTAATAAGCCTTGTTCAAATTCACAGAGTAGAAGAAAATAATTTTTGTAGACTTTATGTATGCATTTTTGTATACCAAAAAATTATAAATGACTATACCAATACCACAAAATTCTAATGTAATTTACCAGGCTTCCTAACTATGCTGTATTTGGGTCTAAAAAAATCGAATTTCTGTTCAAAAAATAGAATTGATCATAATACTTCAAACTCTCCAACAATATAAGAGCTTTTTACTTGTAAATAACTTAGAAAGACCAACATAATTAAGTAGAGGAAATGTAGAGCTTTCAATTGGTTCTAAAATTATACATATAAAAAAAGCAGGCGTAGATAAACAAGTCTTTTCAAATGATGAAATGGTGGGTGGAGCCAATATGGTGGATTCGATAAATATTATATCTCAGCAAACAGAAAAGGTAGGAGGTTCTTATTTTATATTCTACCTTGCCAATATTGGGAATTTGAGTTTATAATTCGTATGAAACTATAGACATGTATTGTGGGCATCATAAAATGTAATCTTACCAAACCCAGAAAATGGCGTACCAGTGTATGACACACAAAAATCAATATTTAGCAATTTTGTTTTCATATTTACTTCCAAGTTAAGAAATTAACTAATGTATAATACTGAAATTTGAATTAAAGTCTACAAATGTGATGACATGCCCTCTGACCCCTAGCTACCCGTAATGATAGAATTAGTTGCATTGTTTTTGAAGGACTGATATTAGCTATCCATACATTTAATTCCTTTTTTGAACAGTTTTTCTTTACTTGTATGTGTATATATATATCACTAAAAGTTACAAGTTTGCAGATCTTCATATTCATAGTCTTATGGTAATATTTAACTTCCAATATATAAAATATAAGGAAACTTGTAAGATAACAAAGTTAGTGAAAAAATTAATGAGAAAAAAACACACACCTGAAAAACTTTTTTAGGACATACATTCATATGCTAACACTAAATATTACACACATCCCTGAGAAACAGCATTAGATAAAGAAGCTGCTCAGTGTCATCCAGTATAAACTGTGCAGGCTGAAAAACATTTCACAATTAAGTTTATAAAATTCTAGTCATATAAATAATATCTCTATAAAAATACAATAATAAAAGCAGCCCTACTATGATTAAAACTGTTTGATATGTTACATTTTACACTTATTTTTGTATTTTAAAGAACACACCATATACTTCATGCCTACTGTACATCGTTTACACAACCCTGTACTTCATGCTTACTGTACATCATTTACACACCTTGTATATCTTTTATACAACAATTAAACCAACTACATGACCAGCTATGGTGTAGAGAATTAATTGTTGTTTAAACAATATACAGTAAGTATTAACTACAAAGCCAGCTACACTGTAGAGGATTAATTGTTGTATAAACAATGTACAGTAAGTATTAACAACATAGCTAGTTATACTGTAGAAACTACATGACCAGAGTAAGTATTAACTACAAAGCCAGCTACACTGTAGAGGATTAATTGTTGTATTGTGTATTGTTTAAACAACAATTAATTCTCTACACCATAGCTGGTCATGTAATTAATACAACAATTAATTCTCTACACTGTAGTTGGCCACATACTGTAACAGTTTATATAACTATCGTACTACACATAACAAGTGTTTCATGAGCACCTCACTTGAAAATCGAAAACTTCAATACATGTAAAGTTTTGCAATAAAATCTTTTCACTAACCTGTATGCAACCATTTCACCTTCAGGCTGTTGCCAATGGCTTACAACGTCTCCCTAGGAAGGTAATGATAAGTAATTAGTCTCTAAGACAACCATGATAGGAATAGCATTAACCACTATAAAATTTTGAGGTATTGCATACACAAAAATACTAACCTTAAAGCCTTTACTCAGAAACTGCCTGGAATTAAAATGTTTTTTTTCTCATAAGAAAACTCAAGCTACACATTTATATAACTAATCAAATGATTTCTTCTTTGCTATTTGAGAATTAATATAGTTAATAAACTTTTCAACTACTAACTAAATTATACATAGACAAATATTCTAAACAAGCTATTACATTAGCTATAGCTTTACCAGTTCTTTAAGCATAACTTCTCGTGGAACACTTGTAACAGTCCATGCTGAAGGCCCGTCGCTGGCTAAGTGAGCAACTATTCCAGCTGCAAAATAACTAACATCAATGTGCCTTGAATGAAGC